AGAAACAAGTTTTACTCACAGCCATGTGGAACTAAAGTGGTAGCCCACTAAGACTCTAGTAATGGTCACTGCATTATTTTCAAATGTTCTGTAGCAGTAAGAAATGCTTTCAAGGTTAGTGACTGGTTGGTATCATTATTCTGACACTGATATGTGATTATGATTCATAATCACATTTATCATAAAATATGAAAAATCCTTACCTGAGCAATTTCTTCAGGGGTTGTCACGGGTTTAGACTGCTTCTTAAGTTCAGCAATTATGGCATCAACAGCTAACATCACACCTGATTCAAGAATAAATGCCATTATAATACTTACTCTCTAATGGTTCCAGGTCAAGTAAAAATTTCAATTCATGTTAAACGTTTTAATGTGTTAATAGCCTATACAATGCTTCTGTGCCAGCGCTTTTCCTAATCTCAGGGAGTTGAATGGCATGCACCGAAACAGGAACCTTCATAGATCAATACAAACTCACAGGCCAAAATTATTTTGAAAACTGAACTAAGGAAAAAGAACAGTGTGTAATTTCAAGAATCTCATCATTTAACTCATTCTGTGTAAACTATTCCCAATCCAATCATGTTTTATGTTTGCAACAGGGTCACCCAACACTTCTCTCAATTTAATGACACAGTTATACCCCTACAGGTTTTTTAATTACCTGAAATTTCCTCATTTAATCTGTAATTATAAGCAATATATTTGTTTCAGCAGTCAACAGCATCACAACATGGATTTAAGAGAACCCAATTTTGTTCAGCTGGGGTTAGTGCTGGCTTTCCCTTCTTTGAGAAATATAACTTCAAAAAAATCCAAAGAAAGGTGTATAGTGACAATCATTTTCTTGGAGAAGTAATCTTAATAACCTCAGTTAATACTTGTCCGTTATTTACAATCAGACTTGGAGAGAAGGGGAGAGAGTGCGGCGGGGGGGCACATGGGAGAGGGAGAGCGAGAATTTTAAGCAGGCTCAATGCCCAGCACAGAGCCTGGTGTGGGGTTTGATCTCATGACCCTGAGATCAAGACTTGAGCTGAAATCAAAAGTCGGACACTTAACCACCCAGGTGGCGTCTGAGCCACCCAGGCGCCTTGAAACTGCTTTTAATGTAACACATTCATTTGGACCTCCAACACGGAAATAAACGGAATGCTGACACATCAGTGTGCTGGGATGCCAATTTTGACGAAACTGTTACTAGCATCCCCTTTTACTCTCAAGTCTTCTTTTGGACAATAATATGCCCTAAAAATAAGTAGCAATTACACTTTCAAGATAGAAAAACCAAGTTTTAATACTCAGCTAGAAAATGGCAGTGATAGGACTTAAGTCAGTGTCACTATGAAGCTCATGCTGAAAAGCAGATCTTTAAATTGTGGCCTAGTTCCCCAAAGCAAGCAATAAGAAACAGAATGAAGACCAGTAACGTACCATGTGCTCTTAAGAGGTAAAAACAAGCAAAAAACAAACAAAAAACTCTGCTTTTATATATATAGTAAAAAAACTAACATCCTGGTTGACTTAGTTTAGCCCTACTTTGTAAAATATCAAAACTGTATAATCTCTCTACGCTAATCCCCAAAAGTTTACTATTTTCAAGGTACACAGTACATGCTGTATCTTCCAATAAACTTTCCTTATGTGCTGCAGGAAGGGGGTTAGGGAGCTCCTAACACAGGGGAGAGAAGGACAAGTAATGTCTTAGTCCTATTTTCCTCCTTAACACCTAGCATAGCACATACCACATAAGCCAAGAATCCAATCACTATTTGCTTAAGGAAAACTCAGATTTTATTTTTTGAGAGAGGAGAAACCAGAATCAACTTTTTAAGACACTTCAAAACACTGTGGTGACAATGAAGAGACTTTCCTACCTCTTCTGATTTCCACAGGATTAGCACCTTTGCTAATCTTCTCGAAGCCTTCCTTGGCAATAGAGCGTGCCAAGACAGTAGCAGTAGTGGTGCCATCCCCAGCCTCTTCATTTGTGTTATTGGCGACATCTTGAACAAGTTTAGCGCCAATATTTTTGTATTTATCTTTTAAGTCAATTGACTTTGCTACGGTCACACCATCTTTTGTCACTTTGGGACTTCCCCAACTCTGTTCAATAATCACTGTTCTTCCCTATAATTAGAGAACAACAACAAAAAAATGTGACAGAACACGTACTTTAAGTGCTATTTAGCTGAAAACACAATGAGCAGTTTTGAATAATAGGATAATTACTCCAAAGTCCCAACACAAATTGTCACTTTTTCCAGATCTGCAGCATCCATCTCAAAAGCAAATTCATCAGTATTCTTAGCTTACAGACAAAATGACCTCTTCTGTTGCCAAGTGCTTATTGCATGAGATTTTATGAAAGATAAAAATCCTAGAGACTAAGAGATGTCATCTCATTAAAAACAACACCAACACCCCTCTCCAACAAACCCACACAAGATACACCAAAACACCTTGGTAGGTTACAATGAAATTTGAAAATATTCTTCACATAATTTATTGTTTTGTCCAGTGCCTGCTACCTTTAATAGTAATGTGAAAATTTACTTTTAAACTGGCTTTAAAATGTAGCTACTAAAATACTAACAGTAAGCGAAGTGTAAGTCACTCTTCCAGGGAGGGCTGCTTCCATGTTAAATCTCAGTTATGGTGCAAACAGCATGGCAGCTTCTGTATCTGAACCAAAGCTGCTACTTGTGAGGCATGCCATGTTTTTATATATATTTTATATATACAGTACATAGCAATACTTTGACATTGGAGCTGTCAATCTGAAATCAAGCATCACTTGTGCACCACCCTCAAAGGCCTTCTCAAATTATTTGTTACCCCTCACTCACCAACCTCTCCGTATTAAATGAGACTTAAAATAGTAAATGTGCTTTGGAACAGAATGGACAACAGAAAAATATTAAGTAAAACTAGCACCAACAAGCACATACTTGAAGTACGACTGGAGATAAATTACATATTTACATACATTGACTTCCGTCAATGGTATGAACTACTGGGAAAAAATCTAAAACTTGGAAGGTAGACTTCATCTCGCTTGCCTATTTGCCAATCCTCTTTCATCTGTGAGTTACTACTCAGTTACATCATACATTATAGGAAACAAAGTTCCGCAAATTTTAAAGAAACAGTTTGTTTTAAGACCACTGTATCTAAGTGAAAGAAAAAAAAGATTAAGCAGTAACTGGGAACTCTTATGGGTATATTGGGGTTTCTCAACAATGGATACGGAAGTACTTACCATTCAATAGCTTGGTGTGATTATCTGATACCATTAAAATATTATTCCTTAACTCAATACTATAAATTACAACAGAATAAAAAACATCAATACCTTTGGCCCCATTGTAACGGCTACAGCGTCGGCTAAAAGGTCTACACCTTGAAGCATTAAGGCTCGGGCATCTGCACCAAATTTTACATCTTTGGCATAGGCCCGAGTGAGATGAGGAGCCAGGGCTCTGGACACTGGCCTAATTTGGCGAAGGACTGCGGGTAATCGAAGCATTTCTGTGGAGGGGGGAAACAATCAGATTAGCAGTATATCAATACTAGCAGTACCTCTGTGTATTACAGCAAACATGGCATCTATACGCCACAACAGAACGAGAAACGTTAGATATAAGTTGGATTGACCTCTGCCAGTCACTGCTCCCGGGCCACGGAAACTAGGTTCAGAACACCAAGTATCTGCGTAAGTCCCCACGTGAGGCCGTCCCCGCGCCTAGCCTAAAGCACCAGCACAAAGCACACCATCGCATTGCCCAAGGCCACCTACCCCGGCCGCTACAAACGAGTTACTCTTTCACCGCTAAAATAGCCTTGAGAGCAAATCCACTCCAAATGTCCTCCTGAAAAACCAAGTCAGCAGGAAAGGGGTGGGCTACAAACTAGAGCGACCAAGGGAGAAAAAACATTCCTGACGGTGCAAAAATCTGTTTAGCGAGATGTGTCTTCATGTATCCACTCAGGTTACTGTATCAGAGCAGCCCGCAGGGCCGCGATGCTGGGGGCTCCGGCCCGGCCCACTCCGCCCGGCCCCACGTGTCTTTCCTTTAGGACGCCCTCAGCAAGGTCAAGAGTGGAGAGCTGTCCGGGGGGGGCCAAAGGCGGCTGCGACCACCCTCCCCGGCGCCCTGCAGTCGACCAGGACAGGGTTGCCACGGAAAGCCCACGGGAATACACTCTCCCGATTGCACACGGAGTCCCGGGCAAGCCCTCCCTCCTGCGCCCTGCCCCCGCGAGGAATCCACGCCGCACGTGATGGGCACCGACATGGACCCGTGAGGCCTGGCCCGGCGCTCCGGGCCTGCGGCGCCTGAGAAAAGCCCTGCTCTCGCCCTCGGACCCGGTCAGGCGGGACCACAACGGGGGAGAGGGCCGGCTCGGGGGTCCGGGGCGCCCGGAGCGGCGGCGCGGGACGGCCGTATACCTGCGGGGCAGCGGCGGAGCGTGCGCACGGTGAGGCAGGCCGTCGGAGACGAGTGAGGGACAGAGTGCACCGCGCGCACGGCAAAGAGCCCGTGTCCCCTCCCTCCGCCGCTTTCCGCCCGCCCCGCCGCACCGCGTGTGCGGGCGGCTCCCACCCCTTCCGTAGGCCGGGGCCCCGCAATCGGCACAGGCCACGCGCTAGCTCCGCCCCTGCCTACCCGAGCAGCGCCGGGCCCGCGGGCGCAGCCTGCTCCGGCCGGCTTAGGCTAGTTCCCGGGCTACACTCGGTTCCAGAACTTTCCGGGAAGCGCGGCGCGCTCAGTGGGTCAAGGTTCAAAGCACGTCATTTCCGGGAGAGGGGCGAAGAGCTAGTACTTTCACCTAGGCAGGCGGCCTAGAAAAGCCTAGAAAGAACTCCTCTGTTCTTCCGCTTCCCTGTACTCGCGTCAGTGGCCAGCGCGCAGACCTGGGGACGAATCGCAGCGCGCGCTGGTGCGGCCGCCCTCTTCTGCGGGGAGGAGCGGGGGGGCGGGAGCAAGCGCGCCTGCGCTCTGCGCGGCCTTTTCTCACGTTCACGTGGGCGCCGGGTCTGACTGTGCGTCTCCTTGCAGCGGCGGCAGCTCTAGAGAGGAGTACGGACTGCGGCGGCTGGAGTCATGGTGAGTTCCGCGTGGGCTGGAGGCCAGGGAGAGGCGCAGAGATGACCGGACGTTTCTGTTTGGGCCTAGCGGGAGGGGTGGGGGTCCCTGAGTGACCCCCGCCTGCAGGAACCCTGGAGAGGCCGGGGCCCACCGACCCTTCTCTCCGCCAAGGGCTCTGCACGCGTGTCCCCGGCACGCCTGGGGGCTTGGGGGCGGGGACCCGAACGCACGCGCCGCGGCACCCACGAGTCTCCTGCGAGGCCTTTGTGGGTATGTAATATCTTGAAAAGCGCGGCTTCAGGCGCAGGGGTTGACTATTTTTGTTGAACTTTCCCAGGGAAATCTGAGGAAGTAAAAATACTTGACCTTGAAATAAACTAAGGTTGCCCATAAAGCTCGTTTGATTGCTGACCAGAGGAGGAGCAACAATGATCCCTAACATACGGAATGGGAAATTAAACTCAGAATGCAGAACAAAATATTCAGATGGTTTTCTTGCACGAATAATCTGAGTTTTGGCGTTGATTTGGAAAGCCACACGTGCTTTTTGATGTGTAACGGTTCGAAGGTAAACACGTAACTGCTTTTATTTCAGATTTAACATTTCTCTTCTTACAGGCAGGACAGGCGTTTAGAAAGTTTCTTCCCCTCTTTGACCGAGTTTTAGTTGAAAGGAGTGCAGCTGAAACTGTAACCAAAGGCGGTATCATGCTTCCAGAAAAATCTCAAGGAAAAGTGTTGCAAGCAACAGTAGTAGCTGTTGGATCTGGCTCTAAAGGAAAGGTAAATGGGGCTAAAGTGGAACTATTTTTATGTGAAGTGGAGGTGAAAAAAGAAATCCTTGGTGATTATTAAAAGTAGTCTGTTTAAATAAATAAATAAAATCTTTAAAAAAAATAAAAGTCTGTTAAACAGCTTTGTGTTATTTTCAGGATCATTCCCTAATCCAGGCACGTCTCATCTCCCTCTAAAAGGAAAATGACTTTCGAATGAAGTTGCTTATTTTGTGTGAGGAAGAGTTGCAGAGTATTAAAATTAATAACCCTTTGATAATCTAGTATGACCAACGTTTTCTTCAAATTCTAAAGTCTTGATAAAACAAAAAGTAATACTTAAGGATGATCCAGGGGTACTTTTACGAGTTGAGAGGAAATTTAAACTCTGGATCTAATCTCTAACACTATTAATTGCCCTAATCTTTTAACCATTTTTGGCCTTAGTTTGTATACTTCTGAACAAGGAACAGATCAGACCTAGCCTTACAGGCATTCTCCTCCAATTAATTGATTAAACCTCAGATCTCAAAGTCACCCTGAATACCCAATAAGTGCCTTTGGGGTCAGATACATTAATTGCATTGTTCCAGTTGCCTGTAAGAAAGTTCCAGCAAGGAGGTATCTTGGATTCGGGAATAGGAAGGCTCTGAGGAGGGGGCACTATGCTGCAGTCTCTCTCCTTAAATCTGCACTTTGATGTAAAGGAGATGGAATCATGAAAGAAGTATATGTTCCAAATTCTGGAAATACCTGTTGGATTTCTATGTATTAGAAGAAGTTAAACATGACTACTATATCTGGTTTTTAAAACTGATTTATTTCACGTAGTCTGGAGGTTATGTTAATATTTAACAAAAAGTTAGCTTTAGTTAGCATTGCCATTTTAACTCTGAACTTTACTCTGAAATTAGGTTTTAGTTTAAGCCTCTGTGTGCATTTTTAAAGTGTAATTCTGCAGTGAAATTTTTGAGCGAAGAACTGTGATTATAGTGTAAATTATATCATTTGGTCCCAAACCTTTTTCTAACAGTTGATTTGAATAAGCATATTCAGTTAATAAAAGGTATAAATCTTTGCAAATTAGATGTTTTACTGATAAATATCCTTATTTTTTAAGGGTGGAGAGATTCAACCAGTTAGTGTGAAAGTTGGAGATAAAGTTCTTCTCCCAGAATATGGAGGCACCAAAGTAGTTCTAGATGACAAGGTGTGTAAATTTATTATTTCTTAAAAGTTAAATATTTGTGGGGTGCCTGGATGGCTTGGTTGGTTAAGCAGCTGCTTTCGGCTCAAGTCATGATCCCAGGGGCCTGGGATGGAGTCCCACATCAGGCTCCTTGTACCTTTTGCGGCTCTTCCTGCTTGTGCTCTTTTTCTGTCAAATAAATAAATACTTGTTTAAAAAGTTAAGTATTTGTTATTAGTTTTCTTAACTAATGGTTTCTCTATTTGCAGGATTATTTCTTATTTAGAGATGGTGACATTCTTGGAAAGTATGTGGACTGAAATCATTATTAAAATGGCATGAAGTGAAGCTGCCCATTCCAGTGAAGTAGTGAAATCTTTCATCATGTAAATAATTTTCATGTCTCTTTTATAATAAACTAATAGTATCCAAACTAATAATACCCAGTGTCTCTAAAATTTAGTTTTAGTGTACTGATAAAATTATTAGCAAATAAAAATGGATAAATGAGTGGTTAATCTTTATTTGGTGATTTAAGCTGGTTTTACGGTTCCCCAGTGGTTTTTGTTTTATGTTTCTTAGTAACCTGCAGAGAATTCTGGGAAACAGGCTTTCCAATCTTCACACTGAATTTACTTTATTACATAGATATTGATGCTGATAAAAAGCCATGGAATTATACTTAATTACATTTTAAAAGCAGTACTTTTTAAAAAATTATTGTTATTAACATACAATGTAATATTTGCCCCAGGGGTACAGGTCTGAATCATCAGGCTTACAGACCTCACAGCACTCATCATAGCACATATCCTCTCCAATGTCCATAACCCAACCACCCTCTCCCAACCCCTCCAGCCCCCCAAAGTAGCAGTATTTTAACTTCATCTATAACAAGCTTACATTGAAGTTCAGTTTTTCATTTATGGAGCTAGGGTTAAATACCTTGTTTTGTAAGTATTTAGAAAAACTTGGTGAGGTTGTCTAGTTTTTAATACTTGATATTACTGCATAATTTACTTTGCAAAAATTCATGGCTGGTTTAATAGCTACCATTGGTTGGATGCCTTTTATGTGCCTGATGCTGCATAATGGTGATTACAGCCAATACCTCAGGAGCATTTTCTGTCCACTGGCTACTGTTGTGGGTACTTAGTGTGTATGGCTTATCTTAATCTTTGAACAACCCTCTAGGGTATGGTGGTTCTCTTCTTGCAAACGAGGAAGGTAAGGCACTCAAGCAGATTGAGTAATAATCACACACACTCAGTAGGAAGGGGCAAAACCGGGATTTGGCAGTCTACTTCCAGATGCTGCTGTCCAAAACTTCATCTGTGGTTTCTTTGTCAGATCAATAGACATTTCAATCATGGTCGATAACCACTAAGATCCGGTATGGGTAGCACCTGAGTGGTAATAATTGGTATCTAGTTCATAATTTGTTGAATTTAACAAATACGAAACGGAGTTAGACCTGGACAAATACCTTAATTTAGCTATAGCAGCTGGGGAGAGAATTTGAACCCAAACAGTCCTACAGACTTAACTACAAACCCCTAGACTTTGCCTTTCAGACCAGCCGTTCTTGGTCAAATTTTCTAATTTTGGTTACCTAAAAATGAGTCTGATCATGTCTTTTAGAGTGTGACCTGTATTTGTCTTGTGGAAGTGAAATCTAAATGAAATTGTTAATGGTGAGCACCTGCGTGGTTCCATCATTTAAGCGTCTGAGCCCTTGGCTCAGGTCATTGATCCCAGGGTCTTGGGATTGAGCCCCCTCATCAGGCTCCCTGCTCAACAAGGAGGCTGCTTCTTCCTCTCCCTCTGCTGCTGCTCCTGCTTGTGCTCTCTCTCAAATGATGTCTCTTTAAAAAAAATTGTAAGTTGCGCAGAATAAGTCTCAACTTTTGGTCATGTCCGTATCAGTAAAGTATGTGTCTTTACATTAATGTATGTGTTAGTGCCATTTGGTATGCTAAAGCTTAATCTTTGTCATCCTCAGTTAGAATTAGGATGAAAAGCTCAATTTGCAGCACCCTAGTGGGTCATCAGTTTCCTGTTGTCCCTGAAGCACAGCTAGATAATGAGCTTTGCTCTTTACAACCTTGTCAAGCATGGATTTCTGTTTTACCAATGATAAGACTGAGTAGAGATGAGGAAACTTCTTCAAGGCTCTGTGGCTGGTAAATTGTAGTTAGGTAACCAGTGCAGAGGCCATGTTCCCCAATTTTGTTTTTCAAACACCCAAGCACATGAGTTTTGAGATCTTAGGCAATAGTTTCCAAACCTTGGTTTATCCTTGGTATATTTAAAATTTCAGGACTCCATTTATAATCTAAGTTAGAAGGATGGGGGAATTTTTTTTTTTTTTTTTTTTTTGTACCATAGAAGTAGTCCCATAAAACTTGCCTAGAAGAATTGCTAAAAAAGTAATTTTAGGAGCACCTGGGTGGCTCAGTTGGTTAAGCATCTGCCTTTAGCTCAGGTCATGATCCCAGGGTCCTGGGATTGAGTTCCACATTGCACTCCTTGCTCAGCAGGGAGCCTGCTTCTCCCTCTCCCTGCTTGTTGTGCTCACACTCTTGCTCTCTCGCTGACAAATAAACAAAATCTTAAAATAACTTTAGGTTATGAGATTATATTGGGAATGAGTAGGGAGAATAATTTTGGCATGAGAAACGTAGACCAAAATTCAGGGTGCTGAGGGTGTGGAACCACATGTTTCACGACACTATGCTGTCCTTTATCTTTTGGTCAACAGAAAAATAACGGAGGTAAAATTCCAACTGGAATTTTTGTAATTATATTACCATTTTTGAGCATTTGCCGTGCACTGGTCTAGGTATTTAATATATAACCTTGTTTAATTTCATAATTAATCATAATTATAACTTTGGATTGAACTTAGGTTTGTCTGACTTTAAAGTGTGCCTTTAAGGGGCGCGTGGGTGGCTCAGTCAAGTGTCCACTTCCTGATTTGGGCTCGAGTCATGATCTCAAGGTTGTGAGTTTGGGCTCCACGCATGGCATGAAGTCTGAGATTCTCGCTGTACCCCTCTTCCCACCTCAGATGCGATCTCTCAATGATTAACATCTTTAAAAAAGTGTGTCATAAACTATTTGACACCAAAAGTTGGGGAAATTGAGAATAAAATTACCAGGAAGCTATTGTGTTGTATGAGTATTACTGTTAACGTGGCTCTCCCTCCTATTGTTCCAGAAAGTGTATGCTTTACAAAATTTTTTATCTAAAAAGTTGGCATTATAAGATTTCATTTTTATTTATTATGATAAAAACACACCATGAGATTTATCCTCTTAACAGATTTTTAAGTGTACATTCATTATAGGCGCAGTGTTGTACAAGCATGTCTTTAGAATTTTTAATCTTGCTTATCTGGAACATTATGTCTTGATTAGCAGTTCCCCATTTCCCCCCCTCCCTAGTGCTTGGCAACTACCATTCTACTCTGCTTCTATGAGTGACTATTTTAGATAACTCGTAAGTGGATTATTGCAATATTTATCCTATGTTTGGCTATTTCATTTATAATGTCCTCAAAGTTTATTCACGTCACATATTGCAGTATTTCCTTGTTTAAAGCTGAATGTATATACCACATTTCTTTTATCCATTCTTCTGGTACGTAGGCATTTAGATTGTTTCTACATCTTTAGCTTTGGTGAATAGTGCTGCAATTAACATGGAAGTGCTAATACCTTTTAGTGATTCTGATTTCAGTTCTTTTGGATAAATATGCAGAAGTGGGATTGCTCGATAGAACTATGGTAGTTTCTGGGGTTCCTGGGTGGCTCAGTTGATTAAGCAGCTGCATTCGGCTCAGGCTGTGATCCTGGGGTCTTGGGATCAAGCCCTGCACCAGGCTCTCTGCTTAGTGAAGAGTCTGCCTCTCCCTCTGCCCCTCCCTCCAATAAAATCTTAAAAAACAGTTCGGTGGTCCCATTTTAAACTTTTTTTAAAGATTTTATATTTTTTGAGTAATCTCTGCACCCACCACAGGGCCCTAAGTCACAACCCCAAGATCAAGAGTCGCACGCTCCACCGACTGAGCTGGCCAAGTGCCCCTCTATTTTTGATTTTTTGAGGAACCTATATACTGTGTTCCGTAGTGGCTACACCATTTTGCATTACCATCAACCAATATGGGTCATAAGGTTTTATATATTAGAGGTACTAACTTTCATATTTGTCCTAATTTGATGTGCATTTTTAATTTCTAGCTAGTCAAATTTCACTTCTAGTAGTTTTTAAAATTTTGAACATGTAAGTAATTAATCCCTAATTTATTTACTATATGGTTTATGTGTCTTTTTTTGACCAACAATTAGCTTGTGTCAACTTTGTTAGATTATCCATTTCACCCACTATCACTCCCCCACCTTGAAATTTGAGGAATCACCTTTATTGTACATTAAATTTTTAAATAAGTCTATTTGTGGGTTTTATAGCCTTGTTCCATTGATTTCTCTATTCTACCACATTGTATTCAATATAAATATAAACTTTTATATGTAAGTTTGATATCTGATAAGGCAAGTCTTCCCATGCACTTAGCTATTTGTGAACATTTTTAACCTTGGTAAAGACTACCAGATTGCTCTCCAGAGTGACACCAAATCATGCCTCTTCCAGCAAGTTGTTTGTTTTCTCTGCACCCACACCAAAATGGAGTTTTGAACTTTTTATTTCTGTGAAGAGTATTTATATGGTTTCCTTTACCCTTATGCATCCTTCTAGAGAAAGCCCAGTCAAATCCAAGCTCGGATCCTGTGTTGCTTACATACTGGTTATATGACATGGACAAATCACTTCTTGGTTTAAGAATTAATTGTAAAAGGAGGGGACTAGATGTCCCTTAACATTTTGAGTCAGGCCTGTTATTTTGTTTCTTAAACTTTGGTTTTATTTAAAAATGGAGGGGGGCGCACCTGGGTGGCTCAGTGGGTTAAGCCTCTGCCTTCGGCTCAGGTCATGATCTCAGAGTCCTGGGATTGAGCCCACATCAGGTTCTCTGCTCTGCAGGGAGCTTGGTTCCCCCTTCTCTCTGCCTGCCTCTCTGCCTACTTGTGATCTCTCTCTCTCTCTGTGTCAAATAAATAAGTTAAAAAAAAATGGGTAGCATTCACATAGTTAAAAATTCACAAGGATATACACTGTGGCATCTGGATGGCTCAGTTGGTTAAGCGTCTGCCTTCTGCTTTGGTCATGATCCCAGGGTTCTGGGATCAAACCCAGCATTGGGATCTCCGCTCAGCAGTGAGTCTGCTTCTCCCTCTCCCTTTGTGATCTCTCTCACTTTTGCTCTCAAATAAATAAATAAAATCTAAAAAAAAATAAAAGATATACACTAAAGAGATATACACTGAAAGTACCCTTCCCCACCCTATTCCCCAGCCATACAGTTCCATCCTCAGAGGCAACTAGTGTTACATTTTATATTTTCAGGGGTATCTTATGTATACATTGCATGTGTATGTGCCTGCGCATGTGTGTGTGCTAGGG